CAGAGATGATTCCAAGGTGTTCCTGAGATCCTACAGAACTTTCTTGCAAACCCTCGAGAGGTGTTATTCTCTGTCTGGTGAGGATGCGGTGCCTCATGCTGGTCTGATCGCACTTTGGCACTAGATACTTCCAGGTACTACATCTCTCTATACTTTTCCTCCTCTTTCCTCCATCAAAGTGCTACAGTTAGTACTTGATTCATATTTCCTTTATCAAGGAGGAATGTCAGGCGTAACCTTGGGATCATGGGTAGGAGCTTTGAATAATTTTTCTTTGGTCTTTGTTGCTGAGTGACTCTGGTCAACCTCCAGCAACTCTTGGTATGAATTCCTCTCTTTAATGGAGATAGTAATATCTACCACCAATGCCCCCCACCCACATTTTCTAAGAGCAGCTTGAGAATAATTTGGTCTTTGCTCTACATTAGAAATGTTTTCCACCAAAGACAGACAATGTTTTACTCTAACCTGAATTCTACTCCTAACCGCTACACGAGAGACTGCCATGCTGGAGTATGTCCTGTCCAGATATTTATCTAACAATTACATCAGCAGTCTTCATAACATGATACTCCCTAAGGGCATCCTATACAGTTTTCCAGTGGGTAACAGTGCAGATCAGTGACATAGCTCAATGTTCCCTTACTCCCAAGATATGCCAAAGTCTAAGATGATGCTCTCAAACTTAAGGTGAACCATCCTAAATTCCAATGTAGTCCTCAATGTGCATCTTTTAGGGACTGTGGCCCTGTCTTTGAGTGCATCTGTTCTAATTGACTAATTACATTAGTTACTTCAATTCACCCCATTCTTTTCTCTACCATCAAAACATCAGAGTTTGGAAAATACAGCATTAAAATAACCTTCCACTTGCCCTGTGCGTAAATGGGCAGCCATCCTTGATGGTTTGGGCTTCTGAAGGCAACAGACTTGAGGTCTGAGGCACACACGGCCAACCCTTCATTGCTGTGCTCCCCTGAAGGAAGGGTTGACTCCTTCCACACATGCTGTCCAGTCACTTCCCAGAGCTACTGAAGACTGACCCTCCCCCCCGGGGTTCCTGTGACTCACATTTTCACTAATGGGCTCGGCTCTCTACTGCTATAAGGAATACCTGACATAATTATTTGGCCTTATAGTTTGGGAAGTTTCAGTCCATGGTTGGCTGGCCCACTGTTTCTGGGCCTGAGACCAAACAGTACATTATGGTAGAAGGCCCTCACCTCACGACAGGGAGCAAAGCAGAAGGGGATGGCTTCAATAGATCTTTTCCCCCCTTTAGGACACATCCTCCAGGATGTAATTTCTGCCTAAGAAGCCCCACTACTAAAGGCTCCTTCCTAACAGGGTAACAGATTGCAGATCAAGCTTTGAACACGTTTTTTTTTTTTGATTGTTTTTTTTTTTTTAGGATACTCATCCAAACCAAAGTAATATATATTGAGCATTGCGGGCCCACGTCAGGCATTGCAGATACAGTTGTGAGAAAGTACATACGACATTCTCTACTCCCTCTAAAAACCAGCAGCATGACTAGAAAGACAGTCCTTGAGGAGGGAAAACTGACCAAGTACGAAAGTGTGAGGTGGACTCAGCGAAACCTTAGGCTCCAGTATTTGAACACTTGATCCATAGTTGGTGACTGTGTCGGGAGGTTATGGAACTTTGAGGAGGTGTCGCCTCACTGGAGGAAGTGTGTCACTGGGGGTGGGCTCTGAGAGTTCATAGCTTTGCCCGCTGCTTCCAGTTCACTCTCTAGGCTCCGTGTTTGTGACTGAAGATGTGCATGCTCAGTTTCCTGTTCCTGCCCCGTGGCTGCAGCTTGCAACCCTGCTTCCCCATCATGATAGACTCTTATCCCTCTGGAACCATAAGCCAAAATAAACTTTCCTCAAGTTGTTTCTGACCATGGCCTCTTATTACAGTAACAGAAAACTAATACAGAGACACCCCCCGCCCCACTCCAATGTGATAGAAGCTGATACCTGAAGAACTGAGCAGGAGTCAGTGACAGGAAAGAGGAGAGTTAGCCCTGCCTCACCCAGGGCTTTCATTTACGACTGTAAGACATACAGGTGACCCCTATCACAGAAGGCAGAGGATGAACAATCGCATTGAGGAGCTGGGAACAAATACCCTAAGTAGTCTCAGGAGGGAGAAAACACAATACAGCTTAGGGCAGGGAGCTTCACATAGGAAGCGAACTTGTACAGGACTCCACTTAGGATGTATGGTAAGTTATAAATGGAACGATCGAATATGCTACCTTCCGGTCATTAGTCTAGGCTGAGTCTTTCTTTGCATTTGAATCAACAGCTTGTAGGATATGGATCCTGGACCTCTCAAATTTGACATTGGAAGTTACATAAAAGGACAAGAGAGAATGGCACAGGCACAGGAAAGTAGCAATTTGCACATGAACAACGACCCGCCAGTTTTTGCAGTTGTTGGTGCGGAAGGAAAAGAGATTGGGAACTGGGTGAATCAAAAACTGTTTTCAAATACAAGTCCCAGTTAGAATTTTATAGATCAAGTTGTAGACATCAAGGAGATTTTCTCTTGACAGAAACGATGCAATTTGCCTTCACACAGTGAAAAGAAATCCTCTGCAGGGTTGTTTGCAAGCTGTTTCCATGAAAGTATTAATAGCTAGCACTTGAATGCTTTGCTGATTTATAAAATCAGCATTTTGGAATAGTGTCCTTAGATATAAAAATAGAGCATGGCTTTAGGTAGTTTCATTTTGGGTACCAAAGCACTAGCTTTCTCTAAGCACTGGTATATGATTTGGGCCAAGATGGAGTATTGTAGCCTCGTTTTTTCTTTAATTAATACGGCAACCCATAGCTAGCCATATTGACTCTGTCTTCATGTAACCATGGCCCCAAAGAACATTGTTACATGATACAGACTTGCTTTCCAACATCCACCTCCTGAGGAGGGCCTTAGCAGGTAACCAATATATTAAATATGTGGGGCTAGTCTTCAGTAAAACTGGGATATCTGTTGTTAGATCAGTTTAGATGACATTTTTTCATCTAGTTTAGGCTGTGATGTCATCCAAGAGCATCTATTTACCTCCTACTAAGTAAATTTTTCACATTACACATATTATCCAAACTATCTCCAAAACTTGGGTTGGGAATATAGCTCAGTAGTAGGATCTGTGCCTATGCACAATGCTCTGGGTTTGATTCCAGCACACACACACACACACACACACACACACACACACACACACACATACACACACCCCATGGCTTAAAACTTAAAAGTTTTCCATTCTTCCAGGCTCAGGTTTCTTATATTGTTAAATTGACCGATAATAGTTGACTTCTTCCTCATGCTATTCATCTGATCAGATGCTCCCATTATGAAATCTCAATGTCATGGGCAGGTCTTTATAGCGGACTTGGGACCAGGAGATTTCATTCCCCATGCAGATTATTCAACAGGCTACAGAGTAATTATTCTTACTAAAATACCAGAAACCAAGACATTCATGAAAATAGGTCACTACCTTCAGAGGTTTCACATGATTCCTTCATGAGAATTTCCATAAAGCAGTCCCAGGGAAATGTTCTAGACCTTCATATGAACACACAGTGGAGAGACTTTTTCATGCTTTCAGATAACAGCATCCTGGCAGCTACCTATTCCACCCACATGAGTAAAAATGGTTTTCATAAAGCTGATGCCTAATGAAGGAAATCAGAACTAAACTGTTTAAATATAGAAGAGCTGGGGCTGTAGAGATGGCTCAATGGTTAAGAACACTGGCTGCTCTTACAGAAGACCGGGTTTGAGTCCCAGCACCCACATCCCACATGGCAGCTAACAACTGTCTGTAACTCCAGTTTCAGAGTATCCAATACCCTCTTCTGTCCTCTGCAGGCCCTGTACAACACAGGTGCATTTATACACATGCACATATAACATTCATACACATAAAATAAAAATACATTTTTAAAAATGTACAAGAATTCTATTGATGCCCAGGCAACAAGCAGGCAACACAGGTCCAGGCCACAGACACTTGGAGCCCTACATTAATCTTTATCACTTGCTATAGAATATCAATGCCTCATGCATGCATCCCATCAGCCACCTCTGAGGGCCAGCACCACCACTTTCAGAGCATCTCTACAACCTTTTCTTCTACCCACCCATGCAACACAGCTAGGACAAAGCAGAATGGTCTTATTCAGTGATCCCCACACATACATGAGAATTTCATACTTGCAGCAACGTTTAAAGTGGGTGATGGCCCTCTTCTATGCCTGTCCTTACTGAATCTTGCAAGTCTGATTTGCAATTAGGAACCACAGATCTGACCATCAGAAAACGTAACAGTAAACAAGTGGCTTCTTTTCATCCTCAGCAAGCCCAGCTCAGTCAATGACAAATTCCTTGGCCCAAGCAGCCAGTTTAGGGACAGGACATCTTTGAATGATTTTCCATGTTGATATTCTACCTGCTTCTGAGACTCAAGATGCCGGAGACACTGGAAGAACTACACACATCAAATTACTGTCGTCAGAATCAGAGAATGCAGCAAAACTCAACACTTAGGTTGTTTCCAAAATTGCTAGGCAAACTCAAATTCCTTTGAGTTATCATGTTGAGTTCATTCACTATGAAATGACACATTTCAATGGTTAAATTCCCCAACCATGATTCTTTGACAAATATCACTGAGTTTTCCAACTTCCCTCCATTGCTATTAATGGAGAAGATGACCTTCTAAGAAACTGTTAAGTGCTATATTATTTCTATTTAAGGGGGGAACAAAATCACAAAATTACACCACGGATTTATATGCCTCCCCGGGAGACATGGTTCACATGGGTTAAAAATCAGTAGGGTTGATGGTACAGCTTTTGCATCAAGGACTGAGGAAGCACTGTGGTCCTTGCTTGTAAAAAGCCAGGATCAGTAAGAATCCCAGTGCTCCCCAGAGCCCCCTACAACCACTGAGCAACTGAAGGCAGAGTTCCTACCTCGGTGACTGGTGAGGTCCCTGGAGGCAGCAGGCAAGGGTGTATACTGGTGGTGGCCCTCTGCAGAGGCGGAATCTTCTCCAGTGGAAGCCTGTGAGCCCAGAACACAATGTTACCGTGGAGAAACATCGAATGCTAAATGCCCTTTTACTGAACAGGTTTCCTGGGGATCTGAGTTTGGAGAACATAGGCTCCACTAAGACCTTTTTTATCTGCTAGGGTTATATTCTAGTGAGTATGGAGCAGGGGACAACATTTAGAGGAGCCTTAGTGCAGCTGGGATGGCTCCTAGACAAGAGGAAAATTTATTTGTTATGTAGAGCTAGAAGGAGAAGAAAGAGGAAAAAGACTTAAGGCAGGAAATGGTACAGACTAAGACTTCTACCACAGGCATTCTCCCAGTAATTTCGGCAAAGTAAATGCTGGCTGTGAGCAGATTTCAGTGAAGAGTCTAAATTTTGTCCCCACTGTAGATTCGGACAACCAGAACCAGCTACTGTGGGCACAGGGGCATGGAGGAAGAAGGAAGTGAAAGATCCAAGGCTGGGCATCACAACACCACCACAGGAAAGGATACAGATCTGCAGAGGCTTCTGGGCTTTGGGCTAAGTTTAACAATAATACTGAGAGAAAATTCATCTGAAATTTGAACTGGGAATATAAGTTCAATAGCCTTTATTCACAATGCTTGGAGTCAAAATATCTGAGCCTTCAATTTTCCTCATACTTTAGAGTAACTTCAGATATGTAATGAAGTACACTGAGGATGGGATCCAAATCTGAACACGAAATCCATTTATTTCCTGTATATCCTATAAGCACCATGCAAACGTAGTTTGAACAGTATTTTTAGCGTACATGTATTTTGACTGTATTTGTTCTAAGAGGTCAGACAGAAGTTTGCATTTAGAGCATCATGTCAGGGCTCAAGAAGTTCTGGATTTGAAATATGTTAGATTTCAGATTTTTTTTTTTATTTTTTTTGAGACAGGGTCTCTCCTTGTAGCCACAGCTGGCCTGAAACTCACTCTGGAGACCAGGATGGCCTCAATCTCACAGAGATTCTCCTGCCTCTGCCTCCCGATTGCTGGGATTAAGGCGCACACTACCACATCAAGCTTGAATTTAGATTTTTCAGTTTAGGAATGCTCAATTTGTATGATGGTTACCAACAAAACATTGTCAACTAGAGGGTTAACCAAAGTGGGATTCCATGACACAGCTTCCACGAGGGTGTCATCTGGGATGGAGTGGGACTTGTGTGCTGATGTAGCTGTTTCAGAGCATCATCTGCTGTAATTAACTCCTCACCATGCTGTGTAAGTAAAACCAATAAGCTCTTTGGTTTGGTTTGACAAAAAAAGTCATTCAAAGGCCTAAAAGAAAATGATTGTAGGATGGTGTATTTTTAAAATTGTACATAAATAGCTCTTTAATTAGAGCACTATGTTTAAGCATTGCGTGTAGAACTATGCATAAAACAGCCTGTGCATGCAATGTTAACCCTATCCTGAATTGTGTGTCCTTGTGGGATAAAGCGGGAAGATAATGTGAGAGCTGTGGGGCTCATGTCAACAAAGCATCCCGGAGGCCAATGCGTCACTTGGACACCTTGGATGCTTTAGCAGGAAGCATCACTGTTCTACCTCTTAACTGAGATTTCTAAATCAAATGAAACTTTTTTTTTTAATATCTAAAAAAAGAACATCTGCTAGGATCAAAATCCTCAGCCTACAACCTTTCCAAGCTCCATGAAAAGGTAAATTTCATTAATGCTTCCTTTTTTTTTTCCAGAAGAAGATGGACATTTTACGGGATATGTTTACCCTGCTGGAAGCAGGCCTTTCCTCCAAAGAGATTACCTACATTATGGGAATCAGAACTAAGAAGGAGATTAGACCTACTTGCTACAGAAACCATTTAAACTTCATTTCTGACATTTGAGGTGTTTGATTAAGCAGCTTTCAGGGCAGGCTTACAGAAAGAGGTCTGAAAGGAGCTGAAGGAGAAGCTCTGTCCCTAGGTGGAATCAGATTTGAGGAAGTATTTCTTCACTCCAACTCAAAGGTAAATATAAGGCAAATATATGATGTTTAAAGCTTGATCCAAGTGTATTGGATCCAACAAGATAAAAGCTTAGTCACAAAGAGAACTGTTTTTAAAAGAGATAAGGCTTGCTGTGCGCCACAGCTCTAGACATTTGGCATGTTGCAAGTATGTGAAGGAGGCAGAAACCAAATTAAAATTCAAATATTATAGTTCCCAGTTGTCTGTTTGGCATGCAATGGTAACAGTGTTCTAAATACAGTGCCCATTTCATACTCGAAGGACATATGGTGCAGTAGGATGGAGACTTAATGCAGATCCAGTGTAGTTCCTTCAAAGACACTATAGGCTTTTCTCTTCCTCAGTGTTACTGGTGCCCCTCATCATTTAAAAAAATCAAAATATGAACTCCAAAACCCAGCATGAGTTTTAGCTTGCTAGACCACATAGACTATGGTATCTCTTAGTTCTTTTAATCTTGATTTCAACTGTTGATAATTTGATGACAGCTTTTCCTACAAATTACTGGAAGACACACTACCTTTTTGCAAATACCTCTGACTGTGCAAAATATTGGGGTTCTATAGCTAAGAGCAAGACAGTACACTAGTTTTATTGCCAATTGTAAGCAGAACAAAAGTGGCATGGGGTTTCACAGCCTTCGTTCAATGCCTAGCACTTAATTTCCTTTCTTTTCATCATCTATTTTATAATGTAAACTCAACTTGTAGAAAAGAATCCAGGAAAAGAACAACGTTGCAAACTATACTTTTTGGTGAGACTTCCACACCACAGTGTTTAGGAAGACTCCTACAAATCAAGATTCTAGTTAACAACTACTTGAGTTGGTTTTTATCGAAATGAGACCCAGCAGATCTTTTAAACAGGGCGCTCATACGCATTCTCTATATCTATGCTCAGAAGCACAATACAGAAAGGCCCAGTTGCCAAATGAAAGAAGCAGATAAGAAAATACCTTAATTTTCACAGCGTGTGCCAACGGATAAAGAACTCACCTTGAATCTGAAGCAATATACCCATGGCACATTGAGTATGAGAGAGTAGAAACATAAGTAGAACGATTTACATCACATTTTCTTTTATATGTTTTAAGTAATGATGCCTAAGGTAAGAGCAAGGCAGTCTGGAATCTCCAGGGTGGGAAAGATTCTCAAATCTTTGATTCTTCACCAGTTTTCCTAACTGCCAATGGCAAATATTTATTGTTTTATATTTTACTTTTATCTCCTGTTAGAGGATATTTTCCACGTCTACAATAAAATACTAGATTCAAGATACATAAAGGGTGCCCTCTCCAGTCAACAAAAATATAAAATGGAAAAAAAATGAACAAAGGAAATGCCAGGGATTTTGAAGAAGAGGAAACCTGATTGTCAATAACTGAATGAGAAGCTGGTTGAATGTGCCAGGGAATACAAGTTAGAACAGAACAAGATTCTGCCAGGCACGGCACTGGCAGACTTCTAAGCTTCATAATAATAAGTATTGGCGAGCATGGGGGAAATGAAAGGTTCCTCTTCCAGCCCTGCCAGAGGGAATGTGTTACTGGTTCAACTCATCTGAAGAGGAATTCAGCAGCTTTTAATAACACTAAAAATTGGTACAACAATTTCACTTAAAATACATCTACCTGGAGCTGAGGAGGTGGCTCAATTGGTAAAGCATTTGCCTTTCAAGTATAAGAACCTGAGTTCAATCCCCAGAACCCTTGTAAAAATGCCAGGCATAGTGGCATACGCTTGCAATCATAGTCCCGGTGAAGTGGAGACTGGCAGATGCCTGGGGTTCACTGACCAGCCAGTCTAGCCAACCAGGGAGTTTCAGGAAAATGAGCGACCCTGCCTTGAAGGAGGTGGGCCATGTTCCTGAGTATGACACCTAAGATTGTGCTTTCACCTCCAAGTGCGCACACTTGTACACCCACACAAAACAACACACACATCCAAATAAAATAACATAATGAACTAATACACTACAGAGGATTTCACCGAAGGAGGTGGGCCATGTTCCTGAGGATGACACCTAAGATTGTGCTTTCACCTCCAGGTGCGCACACTTGTACACCCACACAAAACAACACGCACATCCAAATAAAATAACATAATGAACTAATACACTACAGAGGATTTCACATAGGTCTACAGCAGGCACAGCAAACAATTTTGATTACTGCATTATTTATAATGCAAAAATTCGAAATAACTTGAATACCTGTCAATGACAAAAGTGGGGAAATAAAATGGCTTATATTTATATGACAGGATAATATTTACTGTTTAAAAGCAATAAAGCTGATTTACAGATCTCAGTTTAAATAGGTTTAAAAATTTATACAGTGAAAATGGAAGTTTCCTAATGATAAATGTTGCACAGTTTTAGTCAAGTAAATATGCGCCTTTTTGATTTCCTTCATGTATGAGACTATCTAAAAAGTATAGAGGATGTACACTAAACTAACAAAAATATGTGCATCTGGGGCTGGAGAGATGTCTCAGTTGTGAAGAGCACTGGCTGTTCTTGCAGGACCTGGGTTCGATTATCAGCACCTACATGGCAGCTAACAACCATCCATAACTCCAGTTCCAGGAAAATCTGACACCCTTTTTGATTTCGGTGGGCACTGCACAACACAGGTGCACTTACATACATGCAGACAGTACACTCATACACATAAAATAAAAATTTAAAAATGTGCATCTGGCAAAGGGCATGGAAATCAGACTGGAGCTAATGGACTCTAGAGGGTTCTCATCTTCATATTTGATATACAAATATATCAAAATGATAGCAATTAGAAAATTTGAATAGTAGCAATCTGTGCCCTTAATGTTTTAACTTTTGCACATTTTTGAAATTGAAATTTCTTAAAATATGAAAATAACAATACAATGTTCCCATTTCCAGTCCTGCAATCTTCGGTACATATGAACCCCAAATGAGAACAAATTTCCACCAGTGATTCTCTGCTGTGTAATTTAGATGTCATCTCTCGTTTTATTTTTATAATGAAACATCTCATTTCCA